CCCCTCCCCGTCTGTCCATCAGTTTCTCCCGGACCCCAGCCTCAGGCCCCTGGGGGCCGACCGGGACCAAAGGGGCCTGCATTTGCTTTGGTGAGCCTGGGCTGCCTGCATTTGCCATGTCCCCCCCCCCCCAAGCAGCCTTCTGTCTTTGAGATCTCCCACACACACACACAGTTCTGCAAAGTAATTATCCGGCACAGTGACAGGATTCGAACTCTTCCCCTGCTTTCAATGGCATTTTTTGATTACCCGAGCAGGGTTGTGATCTCCGGCTTCCTGGGCAGGAGCAGCCTGCGCCCCCCCCCCCGAGAGTCCCTGCAACAAGTCCAGGCCGGGGAACACGGAGGTAGTCAGGGGGAGCAGGGGGGGTGCAAACGGCACCTCATCAGGACTCCCGAGCTGGCCCAGAGCAAGACCCAGCCCAGCCCCTCCTGCGGCCCCACACAACCAGTGTTCCCTCTAAGCCGAGTGAGTGTGAGCCAGCTCAGAGTTTTTTAGCCTCCGGCTCACACATTTTTTGTCTCAGCTCAGGAAGTGATGGCTCCAGAGCAAACTGATTTATGCAGTAGCCAAATCGCTCACTCACACAACTTTAATGTCAGCAACTCACAAAGTAGAATTTTTGCTCACAAGCAGGGGTCATTTCCTGCGGGAGCGCACAGAAGCAGAGCTCCGGCAGTAAGGAGCTCAGGGGGCGGGCCCATGCAACAAGCCCCACCCCCTGCTCCCAGCAGCCCTCAGTTGGGCCACGAGGAGCAAGAAGCAGCCAGGTAAGTTGCACAGGCCCCACCCCCCCCATAGCTAGCAATCCAAAACAGTCCAGTGGAGCCTGAGTGGTGGGTGTTGCCTTCTGACACACTTCCGGTGATGTCAGGGGGTGTGGCATATGCAAATGAGTTATGGGAATGAGTTAAGTTAATGAGCTCCTGCACCTCTTTTTCTACGAAATGACCCCTGCCCACAAGACTCCACAGCTTAGAGGGAGCATTGAGATGGGACACCCTCTCCCCCACGGACTCTGCCCCAGTCCTTGTGCCTCAGGGAAGAAGGCGTCCCCCGGACCCAGCCGAGCAGGTGGGAGCTAGGCGATGCTGACCCCCCCCCCACCCCCACCCCTCGCGGCGGCAGCAGCAGGGCCCTCTTACCTGCCACGTCCTTAGCCGGGCTCACCACTTCGTGGGCATAGAAGGCGGGGAAGATGCCGCGCTCCCCCGTGCGCATGTTGTAGCCCCGGTACCAGTAGTCGTCCTCCTCCAGCTCCACCAGAATCGGGTCGTCCACGTCAAGCTCAAGCTCGTCTTCATGGCGAGGGATAAACCTGAGGAGAGCAATGGGTCAAAGCAGGGGGGGGCAGGACCGGCCCTTCAGGGGCCCACAGCCAGGACAGCAGCCCCCTCCGGGGACACCCCCCCCTCGATAAAGGACGGCCACCGTCTCCCCCCGACCGCCAGTTTGCCTTTCTGGACTTTCTGAGGGACGAGTCCTACTACTCAGGCCCCTGGCCCACTGTATGGTTGTGGGAAAGGCACACTGCACATGCTCAGAGGCAATGACCTGTGTGTTCGTTTGCAAACTAAATCTTGGAGCAGTGGCCCTGGGCAACCCGTCCTGAGGCTAAAACCAAGCCTCAACCGAGGCTCTCCCTGACTCCCTTTTCTGTGTCGCTGCTGCAGGCTTGAACTAGGGGTGGGGGGAGAAGGGGGGCAGACAACTCCCTCTGAAGTGTCCTGGCCCCCCTTCCCAGAGAAGCTCCAGAGAAGAGGAAGAAGAGATTGTATTTATACCCCGCCCTTCACCACCCAAAGGAGTCTCAGAGCGGCTCACAAACGCTTTTCCCTTCCCCTCCCCACAACAGACACCATGTGAGGTAGGCGGGGCTGAGAGAGCTCTGACAGAAACTGCTCTTTTTCAAGGACAGCTGTGCCAGAACCAGGGGTCATTTTCTGTGGGAGCGCACAGAAGCGGTGCTCCGGCAGTAAAGAGCCCAGTGGGCAGGCACATGCATCAAGCCCCACCCCCTGCTCCCAACAGCCCTCAGTCGGGCCACGAGGAGCAAGAAGCAGCCAGGTAAGTTGCAGACCTCCCCCCCCCCCAGCCTGCCTTCAGGTACAAGCTCTCCCTCCTCTGTGAGGGCAGATCTGCGCGTCCCCACCACCCCATAGCTAGTGGCACCTTTAAGACCAAGTTTTATTCAGGTACAAGCTCTCCCTCCTCTGTGAGGACAGATCTGCATGTTCCCCACCTCCCAATAGCTAGGAATCCAAAACAGTCCAGTGGAGCCTGAGCGGTGGGTGTTGCCTTCTGACACACTCCCGGTGATGCCAGGGGGTGTGGCATATGCAAATAAGTTATGCTAATGCTAATAAGCTCCGGCACCTCTTTTTCTATGAAATGACCCCTGGCCAGAACTACGGCTTGCCCGCGGTCATCCAGCCAGGTGCGAGTGGAGGAGTGAGGAATCAAACCCAGTTCTCCCAGATTAGAGTCCGTGCACTTCACCACGACACCAAACAGAGGTGGCATCCCGCCCTGCCCTGGTAATGTCTCTCCCCCCACCCCCAAAGTGCTGGCTTCCCCCCGCCCCCGCCTGCTTCCTCACCTGAAGACAGCTCGGTGGGTCTGTTCCCTCTCCTCCCCATTCACCATGCAAGAAAACAGACCGAAGGACTCGGTACCTGGTGGAGGACAGAGACAGGATGACGGCAGGCCAGAGAGGCACGGAGGCAGGGCCCCGGCCGCTGAGCCCGGCCCCAGGAAGGCCCAGAGGAGCCTGTGGGGGGGGGATAGTGAAGGGAAGGTGGTGCAAGATGGGGCAGCGGCAGCAGCATGTGGGTGGGTGGGTGGATGGGTGGGGAGCAAGGAGCTGGCCTGGGTGAGATGAGGGAGCCCGTGGCTCTGCCCCAAGGGGGTGGCGGGTGAACAGGCCCAGAACCCAGCGGCACTTACTGGAGGAACGGGACGTGCTGTTGACGAAAACGTTGAGGAACTTCTTGGAGAAGTGCAGGTCGGCCTCGGGCGAGGAGTCCTCCGAGGAGGAAGAGCAGCTGCGCCCGTCGGGGGCCACCAGCCCGTCCTCCAGGTCGCTGGCCCCCTCGTCCTCCAGGTCGGCCCCCTCGCAGGCCCGCAGCTCCTCGCTGTCGTCGCTCAGCAGGGAGGTGCAGCGCTTGAGGCTCACCAGCTCCAGCTGCGTGTTCTCGTCCACCACCAGGGTGTACTTGATGGAGTCGTAGGCCAAGGAGTCGTCCAGCGCCATGGCGGGCGGGGGCAAGGGCAGGTCCTCTGCCGACGGGGAGCCCTGCCGGCTGCCCAGGCAGGGGGCCTCGCCCTCCTCGGGGGAATACGCCAGGCGGAAGCAGCGGTTGGTCTTGGCGGTGGAGACGTCCAGCCCGTCGGGGTGCTCTAACCGGACGTCGTCGATCATGTCCTTGTCCTCCAGGAGGCCTGAGTCCCGGTCCCCCTCCATCGCCCAGTCCTGACGGGGGGCCTCCCTGGAGGGCAAGCCTTTGGCCGGTGCCTGGCAGCAGCCGGAGAGCAGCCGGCCAGGGAAGACGGGGGTGATGGTGTCCTCGGTCGGGTTGCTCATCAGGAGGTAGGGCCCCAGGTCGCTCGGCGGGGGCTCCAGCTCGGCAGCTGGCTGGGCCTCGGCGGTCTTCTCTCCCGCTGCGCTCTGCAGGGAGCAGCGGAGGGTCTCCATGTCGACCAGCTCGATGCTCTGCCGGGGGCAGAGCTGAGCCTCGCTCAGGGCCTCGCTGGGGATCTCCGGCTCCAGGTCGGAGGCCGGAGAGATGGTGTCCGAGAGGGAGTGGGCCGCGGGGAAGCACTCCTCGGCACACTTGATGGGGTAGGAGCCCTCTGAGATCATCTTGTTCACCAGGTTGCTGAGGAGCCAGGGGGAGTCCGAGTCCTCGCTCAGGTCGGGCTCGGACTCAGAGTCGGACTCCGAATCGTACTCGCTGTTCCCTTCCTCGTCTTCGTCCTCATCCCCCTCGGGCATGAGCTTGGGTCCGACCGGCAAGTAGAAGGAGCGGCGCAGGCTCTCCAGGCTGTGGTCGGGGTTGATCTCCAGCTCCAGGGGGCCCGAGAGAGGCACGTCCATCTGGTCAATGGGGGCAGAGGGGTCTTCATAGAATTCTTCGATCTTGAGTGGTGCCAAGCTCTCCCTCCCGAGCAGGCCCTCGCCTGGCGGCCGGTCTGCGGTCTCGTTCTCCTTGCCCGTGGTGTCGAGGAGCAGGGCATCCTTCAGGCCGAGCACCCCCTGGGCCTCCAGGTCCGCCTCCAGGTCCGCCTCCGACCCCGGGGAACTGGCCTCCTCAATGGAGTTGGTGAGGTGGGAAGACCGTCCGCTGCTGGTGTCGCTGCTCAGGTCCAGCTCGGTCTCTGAGATGCTGGAGATCATGTTGCTGGCCAGGCGGTTCCCGCTGCAGGCAAAGGCGGCCTCGATCTCCCCCTCCACGTCCGAGTCCGAGCCGGGCGAGCTGAGGTCCTCGCTGTGTCGGCCGCCAGGCAAGTAGGCCTTGGAGTTGCGGCTGGTGAGGTCGGCCTCAATGCCCGGGTCCGACGAAGGGGATGTGGTGTCCGACGAGGCCGAGGGCAGCCCTCGCACGCTCGTAGCCCGGCTCCCCCGCGCTCCCTCTCCTTCAGAACTGAGCGGCTCTTCGGTCTCCCTGGCGGGGCTGGTGGGAGCCCCCAACCGATGGCGCCCTCCAGGCCCGGCATCTCTGTAGCCCCTTGCTGGCTCCTCCTTGGAGGGCGAGGGGCTGCCCTGGCCGGTCAGGGAGGGAGCCCCGCCGTGGCCAGTGCTGCCACCAGTGCCACCAGCAGGGCTGCCAACTTTTGTCTCCTGCTCCCTGCAGCCCGCCGCATCTCTCTGAAACCGGGCACAATAGCTGTCTGTGGCAGGAGAGCGGTAGGGGCTGATGCTGGGGGGGCGGGTCTCTGGGCCTTTCGTAGCTTCTTGGGGCTCGGGAGAGGCTTGGCCAGGGGGGGCTGAAGGAGGCCGGGTGTGGGACAACATGGAGGAGACGATGTTCTTGTTATAGTCTTCTCCGGGACGGGCAGCAGGTGGGCCCCCCTGCACGTCGCGGCTGTTGCCTTCTGCGTCATAAAGACCGGGCTTGCAAGGAGGCTGGGCGGGATCCGGGCCTTTGCTGCTCTGAGCGTCCAAGCAGGGCCCATCCTGGAGGCACGGGTGCGAGGGAGAGGAGCGTTCTGTGGGGGAAAGCAGACACACACACACACCTTTAGAACTCGGATAGCGCCGCACTCCCCCCTCCCTCAGAAGAGCCCTCCTGGAGAAGGCAGAGATGCCAGCGGAAAATGAACTTTTGACAACCGCAACAAAAATCGAGACGGCAGAAATGGACCTATTGTCAAACCTGTTGGGGGACAAAAGTAAGCAAAATGCAAGGGATAATTGGACACTATTTTATGACCGGGTGGGAAGAAGCTTCGAAGGCCAAGAACAAGGAATAGATATAATACAAATCTAGAGAGGCTCCAACTGGAACTATTTAGAATTTGACTCTTGTCAGGGTAACATAGCAGAAGATTGTAGCGATCTGACGAAGGGATATTAACTTTAGTAATTCCACAAAGAAACGGAACGGGAAACAAAGAGTTAAGACTGAAAACTTGCAACGGCTGCGATATGAATTTGATGAATTCTCCTTTATGTCTTATCCCATAGCCTGTTCCCTTCCTACCCCTATACTTACCTGTCCTATAGTATCTTAAACTTAATAAAAAATTATAATTATTTTTTTAAAAAGGGGGTACAGCAGTCCTGATACGGCCCACGGAGGTCCCTGGGCGGCTGCGTGCCGAGAGTGGAACCCCCCCCTCCCTTCACCAGTCACTGGCAGGAAAGCCCTGACTGCCCACTTGGTGTCCCTCCAAATAAACCGTCAGACATTCACATGCCTACCGGAGGGACTGAGATATAAGGACTCAGGGACCGCCACTCCCACTTGCGCCTGAGGAAGGAGGCTTGGAGGACTCAGGGAAGCTCGTGCCCTGAAAATCTTGCTGGTTTTCAAGGTGCTCCACTGGACTCACATCCAACTCTTGTCCTGCAGACTGACACGGCTACCCAAGTGATGCGGGACCAGCTCTCCTGCTAGGAACCAGGGCGCCCACCCAAGGTCCTTCTACCGTGGCCATCTTTGAAAACCTCTTGTTGGACCATGACACAGCCTCACTCTTTGGTGTCAGCAGCCCACCCCCCAGACAGACACAGTCTGCCCAGAAAAGTTGGCTCAGCTCTGGAGGCAGAGTAGGTCTGCCCAACTGAGATGGGCTGTGGCTCAGGGGCAGAGCCTCTGCTTGGCAGGCAGAAGGCCCCAGGTTCAATCCCCGGAATCTCCAGTTAAAAAGGACCAGGCAGGAGGTGATGGGAAAGACCTCGCCTCTCCGCCTGAGACCCTGGAGAGCTGTAAAGAGGGGCCGTGGCTCAGTGGCAGAGCCTCTGCTTGGCAGGCAGAAGGCCCCAGGTTCAATCCCCGGCATCTCCAGTTAAAAAGGACCAGGCAGGAGGTGATGGGAAAGATCTCCGCCTGAGACCCTGGAGAGCTGTAAAGAGGGGCCGTGGCTCAGTGGCAGAGCCTCTGCTTGGCAGGCAGAAGGCCCCAGGTTCAATCCCCGGCATCTCCAGTTAAAAAAGGCCAGGCAGTAGGCAATGCTCCCTCTAAGCTGTGGAGCCTTGTGAGCAAAAATTCTACTTGGTGAGCTGCTGGCATTAAAGTTGTGAGTAAGCCATTGAGCTCCTGCATAAACTCCTTTGCTCTGGAGCCATCCTTCCTGAGCTAAGACAAAAATGTGAGAGGCGGAGGCTAAAAAACTGTGAGCTAGCTCATACTAACTCAGCTTAGAGGGAACACTGGCAGTAGGTGATGGGAAAGATCTCCGCCTGAGACCCTGGAGAGCTGTAAAGAGGGGCCGTGGCTCAGTGGCAGAGCCTCTGCTTGGCATGCTGAAGGTCCCACATTCAACCCATGGTATCTCTAGCTAAAAGGACCAGGCAGGAGGTGATGGGAAAGACCTCCACCTGAAACCTTGGAGAGCTGTCAAGAGGGGCTGTGGCTCAGTGGCTTGGCAGGCAGAAGGTCCCCGGTTCAATCCCCAGCATCTCCAGAGAAAAGGACCAGGAAGGAGGTGATGGGAAAGTCCTCCGCCTGAGACCCTGGAGACCCACTGCCAGTCTGAGTAGACAGTACTGAATGTCATAAACCAAGTGTCTGATTCAGTATAAGGCAGCTTCACGTGTTTGTATTTTGTGTGCATCAACATTGGCTTTTGATGGACCCTGAACGAGGGTTGTAGGGGCTTAGCTAATATATCAATATTTTTTTGCTCCCTGCATATGTAAGTTAACCAAGAGTTCCAGCACATTTCAACAGTCAGTGAACTCTGTTTGCTCAAAGATGCTTTCATCTCCAACCGTTAATTGAAACAGTTACAGAAAAGTTAGATTAGCCGCTTTTTAATAGAGGTCAGGAGCGGAGATTGGCCTGCTTATCTTGCCATGTCACTCACAGGCACATGCTGAACGGATGGCTTCCGCTTGTGTGGATTATCTCATATTTAGTTCAGAACCAATCACTTTGGTCTAGATAAAAATCACATGGTTGTGACAGAACAGATTTAGGGAAAAGATAAGACTTGTATTCCCCCCCCCCCTATAAATATGCACTACTGTGACAAGCAAATCAGATTTTTCTGGGAGGAAGCCTCAAGAGGAAGTCTAGGTGAGATTTCTGGGTGTGTAACTTGGGTTTTTGGATAATCCCTAAAAGCAGTGAGTCAAAAACCTGATGTCCTTTCAAAACTATTGCTTGGTAGACCAAGAAGATAGATCCAGGTGGGGTCGCCGTGTTGGTCTGAAGCAATCGAACAACGCTGGAGTCCAGCGGGGGCACCTTTAAGACCAACAAAGTTTTATTCTCAGTATAAGCATTTGTGCATGCACACAAAAGCTTATACCCAGAACTAAATCTATGCTTTGAGGAGGAGGAGGAGAAGAAGAAGAAGAAGAAGAGATTGGATTTATACCCCGCCCTTCACTCAGAGTCTCAGAGCGGCTTACAAACTCCTTTCCCTTCCTCTCCCCACAACAGACACCCTGTGAGGTGGGTGGGGCTGAGAGAACTCTGACACAAACTGCTCTTTTCCAAGGACAGCTGTGCCAGAGCTTGTGACTGACCCAAGGTCACATCAGCAGGTGCAAGTGGAGGAGTGGGGACAAACCCAGTTCTCCCAGATTAGAGTCCGCACACTTAACCACTACACCAAACTGGCTCTTTGAAGCTAGGCACTTTGATTATTTTATCGAGACCCAAAAAGGTTAGTTACAAACCAATATAGGACCAATTGCTAAAAATGCTATGTATAACCTAAATATTATCCAAAAAAATACACGTATTAATTTTTCAAATGGTTAAAAACATTTATGGCCCCACCGGTAGCCTGGTTACAGCATAAAAATGCAATGCTTACGAAAGGGAACTATTGTGACCTGCCGTGATTCAGCCCAAACTAGGCTTCTTCAGGGGCCAAACAATGGCTGTACATCGAGGCTCACGATACAATATACAATAGTATACAATATACAACAGTATACAATATCTATATATCTAATAGCCAAGTTGCCCCCTGAGTGCGGATCGCTAAATCAGCGCTCCGGGGGCACTTGGGGGGGAGGGGGAGGTTTGTGCACACGTGGGCCAGTCCCCACGTGTGCACAAAAATCGAAAAAGTTGAAAAAAATTTCGGGGGGATGTTTAAATCCCCCCGAAAGTGACAGAGCGTCCCCTGCGCATGCGCAGGGAATGCTCTGTAGCTGGCCTCACTGCCGCCGCCGCTGTCTCCTCCTCGGAGCCGGCCGGCCAGGCAGGCAGGGGGGGAACCGGCCTTGCCGCCGCCGAGCCTGGCAAAGGGGGGGGGGAAGGACCGGCCTCTTCACCGCCGCCTCCGCCTCGGAGCCGGGGGGGGACCGGCCTCGCCGCGGCCACCTCCTCGGGGAGATCGAGCGGGGGGGGATGGAGGAGACGGAGCTCTTCCCCCCCCCCCCCGAGCAGGACCCTCGCCGCCGCGGAGCCCGGCCGGGTCGGAGCCGGGCAGGGTGGGGGGTGGAGGACCGGCCTCGCCACCGCCGCAACAGCCTCGGGGAGATTGAGGGGGGGGGATGGAGGAGACGGAGCTCTTCTCCCCCCCGCGAGTATTGCGGGTCGCCCTCTTGTACAATATAATATACAGAACCAATATACAAGTTGGTACAGGACCAAGAGGGGACTTTAGCACTCAAGAGTGGATCACGGGAGGCAAAAGAATGTTTGTGAGGCCTCCTTGCATCTGGCCTGGTGCCTCAGTCAATTGCCTACATGCGGAGTGATGTTTCTCATCGTGCGACTTCCGGTTTTGGTCCAGAAAGTCCAGGTGCCAACTACTGATCAGAGCCCATGTACCGTAGTAGTTCCCTTTCGTATACATTGCATTTTTATGCTGTAATGAGGCTACAGGCGGGTCCGTAATATTTCTAACCATTTAAAAAATAAATATATGTATTTTTTGTAATATTTAGGTTTTATTTATTTATTTTATTTCATTAGATTTCTTGACTGCCATTTCCCTCTTATGCAGGGCTCAGGGCAGTTTACAACAGAATAGTTCAATACAATTATAAAAATATAAGAACATAAGAGAAGCCAGCGTTGGATCAGGCCAATGGCCCCTCCAGTCCAACACTCTGTCTCACACAGTGACCAAAAACACCAGGGGCCCTCAGGAGGTCCAGCGGTGGGGCCAGGACACTAGAAGCCCTCCCACTGTTGACCCCCCCAAGCACCAAGAATACAGAGCATCACTGCCCCAGACATAAAAACATAAGAGAAGCCAGCGTTGGATCAGGTCAATGGCCCATCCAGTCCAACACTCTGTGTCACACAGTGGCCAAAAACACCAGGTGCCATCAGGTGGTCCATCAGTGGGGCCAGGACACTAGAAGCCCTCCCACTGTTGCCCCCCCCAAGCACCAAGAAGACAGAGCATCCCTTGTCCCAGACGGAGAGTTCCTATCTATACCTTGTGGCTAATAGCCACTGATGGACCTCTGCTCCATATGCTTATCTAATTCCCGCTTGAAGCCGTCCCTGCTTGTAGCTGCCAACTAGTTAAAACCACAATAATTCAATATTAAACATTCAGCATCAATATTTAAAACATTTTAAGAACAAGATGGCATATCTAGCATTCAGATGTTTCTTCGGGGGGAGGGTGCCAGGCAGATGTAAGAGTTTTTAGCAATTGGCCCTATATTGGTTCGTAACTAACCTTTTTGGTTCTCGATAAAATAATCAAAGTGCCTAGCATCGTTTAATCAAAGCATAGCAACAGAACAAAGTTTGAGTCCGGTGGCACCATCAAGACCAACTAGATTTAGTTCTGGGTATAAACTTTTGTGGGCATGCACGACTCCTTCAGATAGCTGCAAGCACACAAAAGCTTAGCCCTATATTGGCTCATAACTAACCCTTTTGTTTCTTGATTAAATTATTTTGGGTTGTTTCCCCCTCCGTTATTTTCTTACTTCGATCATTTTAGCCTTTATCTTCACAGTAATTGCGGGGTTGTTTAATAAAGAGAACAATTTCTTATCTCAATACAAGATATCAGTTTCTACAGGTTTTCCATTTGGTTTGCTGATTAACGGTTCAAAGAACCAAACTCAGCCCCCTTTACTCTTTTGTATTATCAGATTTAACAGCTGATAATCACCCTTTAATGGATAAATCCTGCAGGACTTTGCTATTCAATGTTTGGTCCCGATTCTCAACTGGATGTGGGAGGAGGGTCTCTCGTCACAGAGGTGGGGGGAGTGTGCCTCTGGAGGAGTGGGGGCAGGCATTTTGGGGTGCTGATGATGTAGGACCATCTGACTGTGGTTTCTGAAGGTGTGACTAGAAGTTTTGTCACAGGCTTGACCGATGCTTTAGAAAAGCGCCGGAGTCCCGGAGCACCTTAAAGACTAACAACATTTGCGGCAGGGGAGGGATTTCCGTGAGTCTTGGCTCCCTTCCTCTTTTCTGCCGCTGCTGAGCACGGCTAGACCCGTCTTGACTGCCGCTTGTGAGCCACTCTTGTAAAGCAGGAAAGACAGAATGAAACCTTTTTAATCACTAGAGATAATGGATGCTGGCAAGACCAGAATCAGTTTGTGGGTAAGCACAGGCAATTTCCCACCCCCATATTATTGTTCCAAAAGTGTCTTTTGATTCTCCTCTGTCTCTTATTATGCAAGTTCCTTTTCATTGTCTTTAGTCAGTAAACAGATTGCTGATACGCTAATGATGAATGAGCTATCCAAAACTGAACCTGTTAACGGCCCTCATGTTACCGGCATTAAGCACAACTTTGGACATTGGCCTTCCTACATCGGACCATCTTATAGCAATCGCCATCTGCACTTACTTGCACTTTATGCAAATTGTTTGTTTACGTGAAATTCTATGGCATTGCATCCATGCATTGGTGTTTTATTATATTTTAACTTGTATGCCGCCTTGAGCCAGCTTGTGCTGGCAAGGCAGGATATAAATAAAGGTAAAGGTTCCCTTGCTCAAAAGCCAGTCGAATCCGACTCTAGGGTTGCGGTGCTCATCTCCGTTTCAAAGCCGAAGAGCCAGCGCTGTCCAAAGACGTTTCCGTGGTCATGTGGCCGGCATGACTAAACACCAAGGCGCACGGAACGCTGTTAACCTTCCCACCAAAGTGGTACCTATTTATCTACTTGCAATTTCTTGCTTTCGAACGGCTAGGTTGGCAGGAGCTGGAACTAGAGACGGGAGCTCACTCCGTCATGCGGCACCCGGGTCTCGAACTGCTGAACTACCGACCTTCCACAGCCTGCAGTTCAGCATCTTAACCACTTGAGCCACCGCAGCTCCATGGGATATAAATAGAAAGTAATAAATTGTTGGGTATTACAAGTGGAAAACACTCAGTATATCTGGGGTTAAATGTTTGTTTATGTTACTCACAGGAAGTCACATGTTTCTCATATATAACCAATGCTTTTTGATGTAGAAAGCCCGGGAATTTTCTCCCTGATCTAGGAGTTTGATTGGGACTAAAGTGTCAAGGTGTATTAGCATTTTATGGCTTCTCCTCCCATCTTTGTGTGGTGTTCTGAAGAAGAAGAAGAGTAGCCATAATCTCTCTCTTCTAGTTTTGTCTTTGTAGAGTAAGGATATAGCCGATTATGCTCTTTTATTATTTTCATCCCAGTTACCCTTCTTTATATATACCCTTCTTTACCCTGACTTTATATTTAAATCACACGTGGACTCTGAGTCTGAATTATCTTACTCTGGCTCTGCTGGACTATCTTATCTCTGCTAAATACCATTTTTTTTCAATATCTCACTATCACCCAACATAAATAAGTGAAATGTTTTACTCTGGAATCGCAGCAAGGAAAACGGTGCAGGGAAAGAGAAACGGACTGCAAAGGTGGTCTTTGAGTGTGGCGTTGAGAAAAGGGCTTCTGGGGAACCCAAAATCTAGCCTCTCTGGGCAGCCCACCTTGCCAGGTACGGGAGGAGACCTTCCAGCTACGCGGCTTCCCAGTGCTCATTACCCCAATTTCTCTTCTTGTGGACTGAACCCCCCACCCAAAAAAAGGGCCAGTTGTCTGAGACCACCCTAAAAAGTGACTATTTCACCCCAGATGTCCAGAAACCGGCCCCCCATCCAGGGCCCAGCTGCCCCACTGCAAGACCCTCTGGTTCCCCGAGGCCCCTTCCTGTGCCAGGACCGCCCCTCTCCCCCCCTGCAAGTGGGGCGGGGCAGGGCACTCACCGGCATGGGCTGCAGCCGAGGACAGAGGGGGGGAGGCCAGGCGCAGCGTCTCCTGCCAGGTGGCCCGCTGCTGGGCCGGCGCCGGGTTGCAGCTGCTGTTGTTGTTCAAGGAGTCCTGGTGGCACAGAAAGGGTGGAGGCGGCCGGTCAGGGGACTGAGGGCAGTTCTGTAGCCCTGGCCTGCCGCAGCGGAGGAGGCTCCCCCCACCCCCGGTCTCGTCTGGGGGCTGCCGAAGACGGTGCTGAGGTGCAAGAGTCAGGCCCCACCGCCCCTGAAGGACCAAGACGGTGTCCGGGGAAGAGGCGTGTGAGAGCCCAAGCGGGTGCTTGTGTCCGACAAAGGAAGTTCTGGCTCTCGAGGGCTTCTTCCCTGGAATCTGTCTTGTCCCTCACGGATCTCGTTCTTCTGCTACCGACCAACACGGCAGCCCCCCCGGAGAGGGCCGAGGGAGCAAAGGCTACAGATCCAGGCACTTCTGGGCAGCCCCAACTGGCTTGGATAAACAAGCCAGCACCGTGTAGTGTTGGGGTTAGGAGAGGCGGATTTGAATCTTCAGAGTGGGGTCTGATTCCCCACTCCTCCTCTGCATGCAGCCTGCTGGGTGACCTTGGGCCAGCCCCAGTTCTCTCAGACCTCCCTCAGCCCCACCTGCCTCACGAGGGGCCTCTTGTGGGGAGTGAAGAAGGGGAGGCGAGGGTGAGCCCCTTTGAGCAGGGCATAAAAAGAAGAGAAGAAGAAAAGAAGAGATGGACTGACTCTGATAGCCAAGCAAAGCGACAGGAATCAAACAGGAGGGGGCCCAACCAGCCATGGGTTCTCCAAAGGCCACCCGCAGCGGGGCCATGGTTTGTCCAAGGAAGGGGAGCGGCCGAGTCCTGTGAGAACCCTTGTAGATGTGTGTGTGGGGGGGAGGGAACTAGCTGCTCCCCAGCAACTGCCTCACGCCAGAGCGATGGCTCTTCTGAATGCCCACACTTCCGAGGAAGTGCATGCCCGGGGTGTGCGCGTGCGCATGAGGCAGGGCATAGCTTTTTAAGCCGCCTGGCAGGGTCGGTGTGCTCATAGGAGACCCTTTCCTTAGTAGGCCAAAGCTGGAAGAAGAAGAAGAAGAAGAAGAGGAGGAGGAGATTGGATTTATACCCCGCCCTTCACTTGGAGTCTCAGAGCGGCTTACAAACTCCTTTCCCTTCCCCTCCCCACAACAGGCACCCTGTGAGGTGGGTGGGGCTGAGAGAGCTCTTGACAGAAACGGCTCTTTTTCAAGGACAGCTCTGACATAACTATGGCTTGCCCAAGGTCATCCAGCAGATGCAAGTGGAGGAGGAGTGGGGAATCAAACCCAGTTCTCCCAGATTAGAGTCTGCACTCCTAACCACAACACCAAACTGGCTCTCAGAGCGGCTTACAATCTCCTCTCCCTTCCCCTCCCCACAACAGACAGACGCCCTGTGAGGTCGGTGGGGCTGAGAGAGCTCTTGACAGAAACTGCTCTTTTTCAAGAATAGCTCTTGTCAGAACTATGGCTTGCCCAAGGTCATCAAGCAGGTGCAAGTGGAGGAGTGGGGAATCAAACCCAGTTCTCCCAGATTAGAGTCTACGCACTTAATAACTACACCAAACTGGCTCTCCCACTCTTCTTCTTCTTCTTCTTCTTCTTCTTCTTCTTCTTCTTCTTCTTCTTCTTCTTCTTCTTCTTCTTCTTCTTCCGCCGTACAGTGGTTAAGTGCACGGACACTAATCTGGGAGAGCCAGGTTTGATTCCCCACTCCTCCACTTGCACCTGGCTGGATGACCTTGGGCAAGCCATAGTTCTGAGGAGAGCTGTCCTTGAAAAAGAGCCGTTTCTGTCAAGAGCTCCCTCGGCCCCACCTACCCCACAGGGTGTCTGTTGTGGGGAGGGGGAGGGAAAGGAGTCTGTAAGCTGCTCTGAGACTCCTTTGGGTAGTGAAGGGCAGGGGGTATAAACACAATCTCTTCTTCTTCTTCTTCTCTTTATTTCTATCCCACTTTATTCCTTGATTGTGACCCATAGGGGCTTCCCACACTGTTCTCCCCTTCTCCATTCAAGCCGCAGCCCCGGGAGGGGAGGGGAGACTGAGAAAATGGGATGGGCCAAAGGCCGCCGGCAGGTTTCAGGGGCAGAGCAGTGCCTCCTGGGTGCGGCAGGTTGGGCTTCAAAGGGAGGGCCCCCCCCCTCCTCCAGATCAAGGCCTGCCGACTGATCCCCCCCCCTCAAGGGGAGAGTTAATGCTGCCTGCGGCAGATTAAGTGGGAAGGGGATTAGTGCCCGCCTGGCACAGCACGTGGGAGAGCACGAGGAGGGGGAGGGGGGGCGCCTCTGGGCAGCATCTGGGGCAAGGCAGGCAGGGAGGGGGCAGGCACACAACACCCAGGGAAACAGCCCACCCGTGGCCTGCCCGTGGGATCCGGGGGTGGGGGGGTGGAACTCATCAACACCAGCTGGGGACTTGTGGGGAACTGTGAGCGAGGGAGGGGTGAGGAGCTGGGAAATGCTGCTCTCCCCCCTCCTCCTCCAGCATTCTCTCCTTCCCCTCCCTTCTCCTTCCCCCTTTTCAGTGACTCTCAAGAAGGAGGAGGAGGAGGAGATTGGATTCATACCTCATGGCCCTTCACTACCCAAGGGAGTCTCAGAGCGGCTCACAGTCTCCTTCCCCTTCCCCTCCCCACAGCAGACACTGCCCTTGAGAGAACAGCTCCGAGAGAACTTGTGACTGCCCCAAGGTCACACCAGCAGCTGCATGTGGCGGCGTGGGGAGCCAAACCCGGTCCTCCCAGACTAGAATCCGCACCTCTTCACCACTACGCCAAACTGGCTGTCCGCATCCTGGATTGGGAGTTAGTTATTTAATTGTCTACTTGATGTGTTTAATTAATTAAGTAATCCTTTATTTCGTTTATACCTCGCCTTTCCTCCCCAGGAAGATCCAAGGCGGCTTCAGTGCTGACATCCTCCTGTGCGGGAGGTGAGGCTGAAGATGGGGGTCTGAACCGGAGTCTCCCCGTCCCTCGTCCACCACTCCAACCACCACTCCACCCAGGTTTGCAGCTGTGTCCTGTGGGCAGCATCCCTCGATGGTCGGCGGCGGCATTGCTTTGCCAGACAGAAGCGGCACACAGGGTGCCCCACGCTTAGAGAGAAGGGGCACTCGCGAAGGGCTCCGCGATCAGGGAGAGCCGGGCAGTGGACAACCCCCACCACACACACACACGGGGCTCAGTGCCAAAGCGAGGCACACGGGCCGGACTGCACTCTGCTGGCCTGGCACCCCGGGACACATGCCGTGCCCACTCTGTGAAGTCCAGCCATGTGCCCAGTGCTCACTTCAAGGGGGTCCTGCTACCGCCTCAGCCCCACAGGCAGCTTCCCTGCAAGGCCCAAGGACTCCTGCAGCTACAGGAATAAGCCTGGCCAAACCTGCCTAGCGTTTCCCCCACGGAACACCCACAGAAAGCAGAACCAAGTGGATTGGGGGCAGAAGTGAGAGGGAGACCCACCGTCCTTGTTGCAGCCTTTTCCAAGAAGGCCCTGGGGAAGAACAGCTCGGCGAAGTGCCCCACCCAGAAGGCCCCTGACGTGCGGGAGCCAGAGGGAGGGAGGGGCGGGGGCCTCCAAGAACCCAAGCAGCCCTCCCATCCAGAGCGGCTGCCACAGGTTCCCCCACCACCAAATGCCTGAACCCTCTCCCTAGAAAAGCCTCCTGTTGGAGGGGAAGGGACCCAGTTTGATGTAGTGGTTAGGAGTGCGGACGCTAATCTGGGAGAACGGGTTTGATTTCCCCACTCCTCCACATGCAGCCAGCTGGGTGACCTTGGGTCAGTTACAAGCTCTCTCAGAGCTGTTCTCTCAGGAGCAGTCCTCGAAAGAGCTCTCTCAGCCCCGCCTCCCTCACAGGGTATCTGTTGTGGGGAGGGGAAGGGAGAGAAGATTGTAAACCGCTCTGAGACTCCAAGTGGAGGGCAAAGGGCATAAAGCCAGGCTCCTCTTCTTCTTCCTCTTCTTCTGCCACAATTCGCCTGCCCCCCTGCAGCCCCCTCCTCCTGTGGCCTGCGGGGAGTCCACCCCCCCTCCAAAGCCAGTGCCCCGGCCCTGCTGAGCCCCTCCTCGCCCCAGCCTCTCCACACAGCACTTGGCTCCTCTTGAGGGGCTGTAGCGAAAGCCCGCAGCGGAGACCTGAATGCAACCCCCCCCCCCGTGGCAGTGCCAGGGCAGCCACCCACGGACAGCCCAGGATAGCCAGGCCAGGGAAAGGGGGGGCTGCTCCTGCCTTCCCCAGGTATGCCGTGTGCCCCCCAACCCTGCCCTGGGAGGACCTCCCCTGCCCACCCTGGTCTCTGCTGTGCCCGCTTCTGTGCTCGCCTGCCCACCCTGGGCCACATGCCAACTGCCCGCCCGCCTGCCTGCCTGGGGTGTCCTTCTCAGGCCCATGACTGATGGGCCCCACCCGGATGAAACATCGAGGCTGGGATCTTGTCCAGGCTGGGCCTCAGGCCCTCTCCCGGCTCTGCCCCAGGCAACACCCCCGCTGTAGGAGGCCGTGGAACCCATCAACTGCTCCGTCCCCCCCCCCTGGCAAGCGGCGGGATGCATTTGGCACGCTGACTCTGCTCCCTGGGCGGCTCCTTCCAATGCAGGCCGGCCGGCCGGGCCCCCCTCCTCCTGGGCTCCCAACGCTGAGAAATGCTTCCGAGCTTTCCCGGCCAAGCGGGCTCATCGGAGCCAGGCAAGCACTTTGGGGGTGGGGGGGGCGGCCTCTTCCTGCTTCCAGCCACCTCTCAGGCAGCCCACACCCTCCAGGGGAGAGTTGCCAGCCTCCAGGCGGGGTCTGGAGGCCTCCGGAATGACCACTGATCTCCAGAAGGCAGAGGTCCGCTCCCCTGGAGAAAGTGGCTGCTCCAGACAGGTGGACCCCCTCCTTCCCAGGCGCCACCGGTCAGGTAGCCCTGTCATGGATCTGGAATGGGGAGGGGTGCGCTCCTCCTCCTCCTCATTCTCAGCTCTTCCCTGTCCAGCTAATGTGCGCTATCTCCGGCTTGACCTTGTAGTCTCCAGCTGCAATTTACTCGGCTGAGACAGTAAGGGCTTTTCGCTTGCTTCCTTGCTTCTGCCCACGCGCGCAAACTGTAATCATTAGCTTCAGCTCATTGGGTGTGTGTGTTTGGTTTCACTATAAGTCAGAGGCCCTTATACTGACGGCCATTCCTGACACAAGCTGCACACGTGTTCTTTAGTACCGGACTCACCAATAAAGCAGTTATCTTCTTCTGAAGCCCTGTGTGGTGTGACCTGCCTAGGGACCCTGACACCACCCCCAAATCTCCAAGAATTTTCCAGCCTTACTCTGGAGGGTACCCCCAGCATCAGGCAGTGGGTCAGGCATTGGGCATGGACAGGGGCAGCCCGGGCCCCAATCCCCACCGGGCCACGAAGCTCATTGGCCAGCCTCATCCCTGTGGACAGCCACTGCTGAGCATAGAAATGGTTTGAGAGCCAGTTTGGTGTGGTGGTTAGGAGCGCGGGCTCTGATCTGGGAGAACCCGGTTTGATTCCCCCACTCCTCCTCCACATGCAGCTGCTGGTGTGACCTTGGGTCAGTCACAAGTTCTCTCAGCGCTGTTCTCTCAGGAGCAGTCCTCAAGAGAGCTCTCTCAGCCCCGCCTACCTCACAGGGCATCTGTTGCGGTTAGGGGACTCCGTGACTCTGTGTGAAGGGCGGGGGGGGTATAAATCCGATCTCTTCTTCTCTTCTTCATCATAGCCAAAGAGGAGAGCTGGGCAGGGAGTCCCCTGCACCTCCCCCGAGGACCCCCTGAGAGTCGGAAGGGCCTCAGAGCCACCCTCCACTGTGGTGGGGCCCCCCTTCCCAAGGCCTCCCCTTACCTGTGTGCCCGTGGCTGTCAGGTGGAGAGTTGTGGGCCGGTGCTTCTGGGTCTCCCCCAGGGTGGGTGAAGGTATGGGAGAGGCAGACGGGGAGGGCGGGGCCTCCTCCAGCCCCGTCCCTTCTTCCTCCTCCTCCTCCTCTTCCTCATTGTCGTCGATCATCTCAAACTCCTGGAAGTCATCCTGGAAGGAGCAGATGGTCTGGGGCTGCTCGCACCGCTCCAGCACCAGGCAGTCCTGGAAGGAAAGACAAGACGCGTGTATTGGGGGGGGGGGTCACCCCTCTTGCTCCAGCCGGGGGGAGGTCAGACCCCCTCCCCGGAAGCAGCCCCTTCCTGTGCCAGGCGCCCATGATTTGCACCACACCCTTCCTGGCCCATAGGTTCAAGCACCAAGACCACAGGGTCAGCCTGCCATGTGTCTGGAGAGTCCACCCCACACCCCCCCCACAGTGACTGCTGTTCCACGCCCAGAAGATGACAAAAAACCTCCAGGGTCTCCAGCCAAACTGGCCTGGAGAAAAATTGCTTCCTGCCCCCAAAGTGGCCATCAGCATTTCTCTGGGTGTGTCAGAACTAAGCACCGAGGCAACCCTTCCCGCCCTCCCTTCTCCTGATCTGCCCAAGTTCACACAAGCATTGCTGTCAGATGGGGCCATCCAGCCCCTGCTTGAAAACCTCTCGAGGAGGAGAGACCGCCACCTCCCGAGGAAGCCTGTTCCGCAAAACTCTAACTGCCGGGAAGTTCTTCCTAACATTTAGCCGGAAACTCTTCTGATTTAATTTCATCCCGTTGGTTCTGTAATACCCGTCCCATTGTTCATGAGAACCAAAAGCCCATAAACATTCAAACTGTTCTATTCCAGTGAAATGAAAAAGATGACTAAAGCGCATATGAAATACCTTACACCGAATGAGACCTTTGGCTCAGCTGCTTGAAGGGGCAGAACGGCTCTGGCAAGAACTCAGGCAGAAGGCTTCGAACAACTGAGCTTGCTTGGGTGGGAGCATTCCTCAGAATGTTAGGTTTGCGGCAAATCCCATTTTCTATCCCCTTGCACACCCCCAAGTGTCGACTCTAGACTAGATGACCCTGGAGGTCCCTTCCAACTCTCTGATTCTACGACTCTATGGTCCTGATCCCACGGCTCCTCTGTCCGCACTGCTCACAGTTGTCTTCTCCCTGCGGAGCCTGGGGTGCTTCTACCTCCCTCTCGAGTAGGCCTGTCAAGGAGCCCTGTTGGCGCATGACCCCTGCCTGCCTGCCCGCCTGCCCGCCCTCTGGGGGGGGGACCCTCTCCCTCCCCTCCGCTACCATGTGCGGAAGGAGCCCAACACGAAGAAAGCTGCCAGACAATTCTGGGCTCTTTTTAAGTGTGCGTTTTGGTCGCCGCGCTCTCCCGCAAGATCAGGCGCTGCAGCGCATTAAGAATCCACGCTTCCCGAAAGGCCTGGCGTCAGTTTCGCAGAACTCTCCCACACCCCCAGGTCCTCCTCCCGCTCAGCCGTGCTCGGAGCCTCCCAGGGCTGACTCTGAGCCGCCTGGAGGGCCGAGGGATGGCGTGGGGGGGGGGAGGGGCTGCGCTTCCTTGACTCAGCAGGCAGCAGGGGCTGACTCAGCAGCATGCCCCACGTGACCAGCACCTGCTGGGTCCACTGAGGACGGCCAGCAAAAGTCACTTTGGGAACCAGCCAGAGGGAAAGCTCTCCCCTCGGCTGTGGCTCCTTGTAGACTCTGCTGGAAGGCGCCCAGAGCTCCCGCCCGGAAGCAGTTTCCTTCCTGCGCTTTCCGCCTGGTCCCAGCGGCCCTGACCTGGACGGCCCCGGCTGGCCCAGCCTCCTCAGAGCTCAGAAGCCAAGCAGGGTCAGCCTGCCCTGTGTGTGTGTGTGTGTGTGTGTGTGCGCGCGTGCGTGCGTGGAGGGGCCTGGCTCCCTACCAGGAGGAAACGACAAGGTGGACATCTCCCCATTCCAATCTGTATGCCAGGAAACATCGTACCAAATACGTTTCTGCATGTCAAATACAAGAACCTCAGAAGAGCCCAGCTGGGTCAGACCAGTGAAGGTCCATCTTGGACCAGACCCCCGTCTCACACATTGGATTAACCAGTTCCTCTGGAGGGCCAGCAACAGGGCAGAGAGGCCGAGGCCTTCATAAGAACATCAGAGGAGCCCTGCTGGATCAGACCAGTGAGGGTCCATCTAGTCCAGCATCCTGTCTCGCACAGGGGCCAGCCAGTTCCTCTGGAGGGCCAACAACAGGGCAGAGAGGCCGAGGCGTTCATAAGAACATAAGAGAAGCCAATGTTGGATCAGCCCAGTGAGGGTCCATCTAGTCCAGCCTCCTGTCTCACACAGGGGCCAGTCAGTTCCTCTGGAGGGCCGACAACAGGGCAGGGGGCTGAGGCCTTCATAAGAACATAAGAGAAGCCAACGTTGGATCAGGCCAGTCACCCACCCAGTCCAACACTCTGTCACACAGTGGCCAAAAACACCAGGTGCCATTAGGAGGTCCAGCAGTGGGGCCAGGACACCAGAAGCCCTCACACTCTTGCCCCCCCCCCAAGCACCAAGAATACAGAGCATCACTTGCCACAGACTGAGAGTTCCTAGCGACACCTTGGGGCTCATAGCCACTGATGGACCTCTGCTCCATATGTTTAACCAATTCCCTCTTGAAGCCAACCATGCTTGTAGCCACCACCACCTCCTGTGGCAGTGAATTCCATGTGTTAATCAAAGAATAAGAAGAGCCCTGCTGGATCAGACCAGTGAAGGTCCCTCTGGTCCAGTGTCCTGGCTCACACAACCACCAGCCAGTTCCTCTGGAGGGCCAACGACAGGGCAGAGAGGCCGAGGCCTTCCCCTGGTGCTGCCTCCTGGCTCTAGGGCTCGGAGGATTAGTGCCTCTGAATTATGGAGGCTCCCCGCAGTCACCAGGGCTAGCAGCCACTGACGGTCCTCACATCCAGGAATCTCCCTGATCTCCTTTTAAAGCTATCCATTCCTGTGGCCATCACTATACCCTCTGACAGTGAATTCCACAATTCAATCATTCACTGTATAAAGAAGAACTTATTTTTGTCCGACCTGAACCTTCTTCCCATCGGCTTCACTGGGTACCTTCAAGCTCTAGTCTTTTGGGAGAGGGGGGAAAAGTTCTCTTTGTCGGCTCCCTTTACCCCGTGCAGGATTTTATAAACCTCTCTCATGTTCCCCCTTAGTCGTCTCTATTCTAAACTGCAAAGTCCCAGAGACTCTGGAAAGGCGCTCACACTCCTTAATCATAACGTACCACAAATGTGGCTCGCATGTTCCCAAGCCCGAAAAGAACACATGAGTGTGGATAAGACATCCAGAGAGTTCCCCGTCACACACACAGCAATAAGAACCTCAGAACAGCCCTGCTGGATCAGACCACTGAGGGGCCCTCCAGTCCAGCCTCCCGTCTCACACAGGGGCCAACCAGTTCCTCTGGAGGGCCAACAACAGGGCACAGAGGCCGAGGCCTTCCCCTGAGAAGGACACCAGAAGAGCCCTGCTGGGTCAGACCAGGGAGGGTCCCTCCAGTCCAGCCTCCCGTCTCACACAGGGGCCAACCAGTTCCTCTGGAGGGCCAACAACAGGGCACAGAGGCCGAGGCCTTCCCCTGAGAAGGACACCAGAAGAGCCCTGCTGGGTCAGACCAGGGAGGGTCCCTCCAGTCCAGCCTCCCGTCTCACACAGGGGCCAACCAGTTCCTCTGGAGGGCCAACAACAGGGCACAGAGGCCGAGGCCTTCCCCTGAGAAGGACACCAGAAGAGCCCTGCTGGGTCAGACCAGGGAGGGTCCCTCCAGTCCAGCCTCCCGTCTCACACAGGGGCCAACCAGTTCCTCTGGAGGGCCAACAACAGGGCACAGAGGCCGAGGCCTTCCCCTGAGAAGGACACCAGAAGAGCCCTGCTGGGTCAGACCAGGGAGGGTCCCTCCAGTCCAGCCTCCCGTCTCACACAGGGGCCAACCAGTTCCTCTGGAGGGCCAACAACAGGGCACAGAGGCCGAGGCCTTCCCCTGAGAAGGACACCAGAAGAGCCCTGCTGGGTCAGACCAGGGAGGGTCCCTCCAGTCCAGCCTCCCGTCTCACACAGGGGCCAACCAGTTCCTCTGGAGGGCCAACAACAGGGCACAGAGGCCGAGGCCTTCCCGTGATGTTGCCTCCTGGCTCTGGGATTTAGAGGGTGACTGCTTCTGAATGTGGAAGCGCACGGCCAGGAACAGAGATGGCAGCCCAGCACGGGGAGGGCATCTTTCACAGGTTGGAGAGAAGAAACCCTGGCACAAAGTACTTGCATTCAATGCTCCCTCTAAGCTGCGGAGTCTTGTGAGCAAAAATCCTGCTTTGTGAGCTACGTGGCATTAAAGTTGTGAGCGAGCAGTTTGGCTGCTGCATCAATTAGTTTGCTCTGGAGCCCTCCTTCCTGAGCCAAGACAAAATGTGTGAGCCAGAGGCTAAAAAAATGCGAGCTAGCTCACGCTAACTCAGCTTAGAGGGGACACTGCTTGCATTGCATTCTGCACGTTCTGTAGCACATGGTTGCAGCCAAAGAGGACTCGAGTCCGAAAGACCCGGCTGCCCATCCTCCCTCTGCCAGGACATATTTTCCCGTTGGGCATTTCTCTTTCCATCTGCGAAGTGGGGCTTATCACATTATTCTTCCAGACCTCACCCAGCTTGCCTGGGGTTTTACAAAAGAGACACGTGGCTCCATCCCAAAGGGCACACGTCTTGTACCGGCTTCCACACTGTTGCCAGCCAGAATCCCTGTCCTCAGCCCCAGGGGTGCCAACAAGGGATGTAGGAATAAAAGTGAGCGGTCCCAAAAGACAAAAATGTAGCCTCACCGGAAAGGGAGAGGTTTTGAGGGCCAGGGGGCCAGAGGGGACCCCCCACGGCAGGCATCTCGAGTGCCGGGAACCCCGGCCATGGGGCTGGCAGAGCTTCCCCAATGGCCCCTCACCTTCTCATAATGGTCTGAATCATAGTTGAGGCCGATGCCGCAGTCGTCGGTGATTTCGGACAGATCCTCATCATCAAACTCCTCCAGACTGATGTCCTGGGGTGCCCTGAGGAGACAGAGAGGCGTGAGTGAGGAGGGCGGGGCGTGTCTGTGCATGAGTCAAGTCTCCCCCCCAATCTCTTAGCACCGGAAGGAGAAGGGCCACCTTCCCTCTTCAGCAGAATTCTGGAGGTGGGATTCAACACCGGGGTTTGCCCAAGAACACTCAGAAATGTGCCCTCAGAAGGGACCTCTTCCCCAGCTGGTGAGCGGGTATCCTTTCGCACCAAGGAACCATCCCTGGGCAGGGTGGGAGGGGGGCTCTTGGTAGTGGGTGATTCGATCCTTAGGCAGGTAGACAGCTGGGTGGCGAACCCGCGTACTGACCGTATGGTGACTTGCCTGCCTGGTGCGAAGGTAGCGGACATTATGCGTGTTTTAGATAGGCTGGTAGATAGTGCTGGGGAGGAGCCAGTGGTCGTGGTGCATGTCGGCACCAACGATGTGGGGAAATGCAGTCGAGAGGTCCTGGAGGAGAAATTTAGGCTGCTGGGCAGGAAACTTAGGTCCAGGACCTCCAAGGTAGCCTTCTCAGAAGTGTTACCTGTTCCACGCGCAGGGCCGGAGAGACAGGCAGAGATCAGGAGTCTCAATGCGTGGATGAGACGATGGTGTAGGGGGGAAGGGTTCAGGTTTGTTAGGCACTGGGATACTTTTTGGAACAAGAGGGAGCTGTACAGGCGAGACGGTCTCCACTTGTCCCGAGAAGGAACCAGGCTGCTGGCACTTAAAATCAAAAAGGTGGCAGAGCAGCTTTTAAACTGAATATTGGGGGAAAGCCGACAGGAGATGAAAAGTCTCTGGTTCGGGTTGGCTCATCTGAGAGAGGTGAGGGGGTACCGGTTGCTTTTCTACAGGGAGGTGGATTGAAATTGTCCACAGAGGCCATGGCTGGTGACATGGACTGCCGGACAACGACTCGAGATAGCAAGAGGAAGGATGCAGGCTTAACTTGTAAGGGAAATTACAGCTGTTTCTATACAAATGCTAGAAGTGTCCGAGGTAAAATCGGGGAGTTGGAGTGCTTGGTGTCGGAGGGAAAAATAGACATTGTGGGTATTTCTGAAACTTGGTGGGATGAGGAAAATCAGTGGGACACAGTGATTCCCGGTTATATATTATATCGGAAGGATAGGGGGGGAAGGGTTGGAGGTGGGGTAGCTCTGTATGTCAGAGAGGGTATAAAGTCTAGAAAGATTGAGAGGCTAAGTGAATTGGATTCGCTTCTGGAAGTTCTATGGGTTGAAATAGGGGGGCCAAAAGGAAACTTAACACTGGGAGTTTGTTATCGCCCACCAGATCAAAAGATAGAGGAGGATTATAAAATGATGAATGCCTTAAAGATAGCAACTAGACAAAAACACTGTGTAATAATAGGTGATTTTAACTACCCACACATTGATTGGGTCAATATGTGTTCTAGCCGGGAAAAAGAGATTGAGTTTCTAGACACTCTAAATGACTGTGCTATGGAGCAGATGGTCACGGAACCTACCAGGGGAGAGGCGATCCTTGATTTGGTCCTAAGTAACACTCAAGACCTGGTGAGAGATGTAAAAGTGATTGCACCGCTTGGAAACAGTGATCATAATGTTGTTGAGTTCATCATTTGTACAAATAGAGAATTGGCCAAAAAGACTCACACAACCATTTTTAACTTTAAAAGGGGTAATTTCTCTGATATGAGGGGACACGTGGGGAGGAAACTGAAAGGAAAAGTAGAAAGGGTCAAAACAATTGGGGAAGCTTGGGATCTATTTAAAACTACGATCCTAGAAGCTCAAAAAATATATATTCCGCAGGTTAGGAAAGGCACAAACAGGTATAGGAAAAAGCCTGCATGGTTAACAAACAGAGTAATGGAGGCTGTAAAAAGTAAAAAGAATTCCTTTAAGCAGTGGAAAGCTAGTCACAGTGAGGCTGATAAAACGGAACACAGGCTATGGCAAATAAAATGCAAGTCTGAGGTCAGGCAGGCAAAAAGGGAATATGAGGAGCATATAGCAAAAAACGTAAAAACCAACAATAAAACTTTCTTCAAATACATTAGAAACAGGAAACCAGCCAGGGAGGCAGTGGGGCCCTTGGACGACCAAGGGGTAAAAGGAGTATTGAAGGATGATAGGGAAATGGCTGAGAAGCTAAATGCATTTTTTGCCTCCGTCTTCACTGTGGAAGATGAGAAGTGCTTGCCCACTCCAGAACCACTGATTTCAGGAGGGGTGTTGAAAGACCTGAGTCAGATTGAGGTGACGAGAGAGGAGGTCCTAAAACTGATAGACAACTTAAAAACTGAAAAATCACCAGGCCCAGATGGCATACATCCGAGAGTTCTGAAAGAACTCAAATGTGAACTTGTAGATCTCCTGACAAAGATATGTAATCTTTCCTTAAAATCTGCCTCCATTCCTGAGGATTGGAAGGTAGCTAATGTCACTCCCATCTTTAAAAAGGGTTCCAGAGGAGATCCGGGAAATTACAGGCCAGTCAGTCTGACGTCGATACCGGGTAAATTGGTGGAAACCATTATTAAGGAAAGAATTAGTAGGCACATAGATGAACAAAACCTATTGAGGCAGACTCAGCACGGTTTCTGTAAGGGAAGATCTTGTCTCACTAACCTGTTAGTGTTCTTTGAGGGGGTGAACAAACATGTGGACAAGGGGGATCCAATAGATATTATTTACCTTGACTTCCAGAAAGCTTTTGATAAAGTTCCTCATCAAAGGCTCCTAAGTAAGCTCAAAAATCATGGGATAGAAGGACAAGTCCTTTTATGGATCAAAAACTGGCTAGTTCATAGAAAACAGAGAGTGAGTGTAGGTGGGCAATTTTCTCAGTGGAGGGTGGTAAGCAGTGGGGTACCGCAGGGATCAGTACTTGGTCCACTGCTTTTTAACTTGTTCATTAATGATTTGGAGATGGGAGTAAGCAGTGAAGTGGCTAAATTTGCGGATGATACAAAGTTGTTCAGGGTGGTGAAAACCAGTGAGGATTGTGAGGCACTCCAAGGGGATCTGTCAAGGATGGGCGAGTGGGCGTCAACATGGCAAATGGGGTTCAATGTGGCCAAGTGCAAGGTGATGCACATTGGAGCCAAAAATCCTAAATATAAATACACATTGATGGGGTCTGAACTGGCAGAGACTGAGCAAGAGAGAGATCTTGGAGTTGTAGTGGATAACTCACTGAAAATGTCGAGACAGTGTGTGACTGCAATAAAGAAGGCCAATGCTATGCTGGGGATTATTAGGAAGGGTATTGAAAACAGATCAGCCAATATAATAATGCCCCTATATAAATCAATGGTGAGACCTCATTTGGAATACTGTGTGCAGTTCTGGGCACCACACCTTAAAAAGGATATTATAGCTTTGGAAAAAGTGCAGAAAAGGGCAACTCGAATGATAAAAGGGTTGGAACACTTTCCCTATGAGGAAAGGTTAAAGCGCTTAGGGCTCTTTAGCTTGGAGAAAAGACGACTGAGGGGTGACATGATCGAGGTTTATAAGATTATGCATGGGAAAGAGCAGGTAAAGAAAGAGGTACTTTTCTCCCTTTCTCACAATACAAGAACTCGTGGGCACTCCATGAAACTGCAGAGCGGTCGGGTTAGAACGGATAAAAGGAAGTACTTCTTCACCCAAAGAGTGATTAACACATGGAATTCACTGCCACAGGAAGTGGTGGGTGCTACAAGCATGGACGGCTTCAAAAGGGAATTAGATAAGCATATGGAGCAGAGGTCCATCAGTGGCTATTAGCCACAAGGTATAGCTAGGGGCTCTGGGGCAAGTGATGCTCTGTCTTCTTGGTGCTTGGGGGGGGGGTCAACAGTGGGAGGGCTTCTAATGTCCTGGCCCCACTGCTGGACCTCCTGATGGCACTGGTATTTCTGGCCACTGTGTGACACAGAGTGTTGGACTGGATGGGCCTTTGGCCTGATCCAACATTGGCGTCTCTTATGTTCTTATGTTCTTAAATGTAGGAGCAGGACCAGGGTACTTTAATCCATCAGGGA